ATGTATCAATTCATCTCGATACATTTGTTCAGTAAATTTGTAGACGTCTCTCAAGAGAGGATGTCAATTCTCATTATATTTCCAACGAAAACAATCCCCAAGACAGACTCACTTTGTCTCAAGTCGTTCATAAGTTAACGATATGAAACAACAAAGGGACTCAGAATGACCAGCTGCAGTTTTCTACTACATAACTTGAATTACAAAACATTACCATGCATTCTTGTCAGGTGGCTCAAATAGTTCAGCCAAGTTCCATCTGCACACAGTTTACGTGATTAGTTTGAGTCCGTCGAACTGATTGTCAACTCAGAATCAGAAGAAAAATAGGTTGGTTTACTTAGTCTCATATCGGTTCTTACATGTTGTCAGCAAACACATAAGTGTAGTGTCTCGAAAAATTAATTGATCGGAAAGGAGGCATTATTTACTACCACTGTTGTGAAGGCAAGCCTAAGAAAAGACGGACAACATAATCGGCTAGTAGATAACAACGTAACTCACTGAAACTTATTAAACAACTGTATGGACCACTAACCCCGAAGATAAAGTTCAACAAGCAGGCATGTTTTCCACGGCATATACCGGCCAACTACAAGAAAATTGACGTGAAAATGACTATCATACGAGGACTGGGCAATCCATGATATTATATTAGTTTACGTTCATTTTATGATTCCGGATTTGTCGGATGTGGCATAGCATTACACCTTCTGACGGCAGTAGACCAGAGCAAATCCGAACACCACAGCAGACTGCTGCAGCACGTTAAAGTCTCATAGTCTGATCTCGATTGCCGATCGATGTTTGATGGAACTATTTTATGTTGACCACAATACAAGCTGGCTACGCATTGGACAACCCCAAAACCTCCTGTCATTACTTGTTTCTAATATTCCGGATTCCTATATTGAGCACTGTGAAAATGTGATAAAACCAATGTAATTCACAATAAATAGGAACACTGGAAAAACTGTCTAGACTAGAGTTATACGTGGTATGATAATAACACACTTAGGTTATCTGTTAGGATTACTTGGTTGAAATTTGACTGTCAGATTGTATTTGATAAACGTTGCATGGGGCTGAACTTGGTTTCGATTGCAACTCGGCAGTATTTACGTAGTAGGGGGAATGAGGCCTGCTTGTTGAGTGAGTGACAATGTAGGATATTTTTAATCGCAGTCTTAATGGGTTAGACGTTTAAAAGGTCTCCGTTCGGATTCAGTAGACGAAACAATCAAAAGTAGCATCAAAACACTGGCTGATAAACCGACTGCCGGTAGAGTAGCTTCCTGCCACTCATCCCAAGTGTCAAAAAACCTGGTTGCAAAGTATGCTGCTGTATATACGACAGATAACTGCAACCCAACACAATCAAATGCACACGGTAACTTTCGGTAATCACATTCGAATTCGCCAAACCTATCATAACGTATGAAAAAATCTGTATTGTAAGTCTGATGTATAGAGCTCACTGACTTGACGAACAACGTTAACGAAGATTGTGTGGATCTAGATGTTCACCTGAGGTAGCCTTTGCTCTTAACTGAAGTGTTTGCTTCTTGTAAAAAGGTTCTTTTGTCGTACATCACAGCAAACTGACTATCGTCGTTGAGCATCTAACGTGAAAGCCTTGATTACCGCTCCAGATCGGCTTAGGGATGAGGGGAATGCTTATACATTCCTTCATCAACCCATCTCCATACATTTTTCTCCATTAGAAAAATAACGTTTTGTAATGTTATCTGGATCGAATAGTGTTTGATGCAGGTACAGACGAGTTACATTCAAAACAAGCGTTGTTTCCTCAAGTGAATAAAAAAATACGTCCAAACCATTTTTTCATCGATCAGGTATTCGGTACACCCACAACTTTGCAGATCACATCAGAATGATTTTGTGTTTGACCAAATTAAACTCCACTGTAATAAATCACCTGAACGGCGATTGTGGCCGTGTATCATATCGTCCTATGGTATATTCAGATTTTGATTTGTTCTATTAACCACCACGTCAGTTATCGGATCGTCGACCGTTAAACATGCCAGTGTTCACTGACAAACATTTCAGTGATGTGAAAGCAATCAGCTTACGTTGTCGCCACGCATACATAAGCAGACATTGGTGGTTTTCTTGCAGTAGTGTGAGACATATATTTCCGAAGGATAACACTAGCCAGCTTGCTATGTGATAAACCGGCCACTCTGTTACAAACTGCTTACAATTCGTATAGCTTCTTAACGCGGATCTAGACTGGGTCTGATTATTCCGATGTCTTTGTTATCGTACACTTGGGTCTGACTCGAGTCTCCTTTTGTCGAAGTTAGAAATATTGTTCAGATCGACTGAAAATGTTGATACCAGTCAGGTGTCCAACACACATCTGATTGCTTTATTGCCCACATAACGTTTGCGGTGGTCGTCGGCTAGATAAATTCGCACGAATGTATGTGAAATTAGCTGATAGACGCAAAAAAGACAATACTCGATGCACACTCCGTCATTGAAGCTAGTCTGCAGTGGATATGCTAGACAATCAAGGATCGTTCATTGACTATAATTTACTGTTTAGACAAGCACGTACTGTTGATGTAGCAATTCTTTGTGTGCACAAACAGACCTACACATAGGTGTTTCAAAACCACATTTATCGAATGGAGTGATAGCAACAAAAACAACATCTGTGATGCAGGATTTCGACGTGTGTTCGAAACGGTTCAATGAACAGGTCGAAAGCAACATGTGCAGTTCATACCTAATGATCAACGTCGAACATTCGTCAGTAAACTTTTGACTCAATTAATTATGATTGCCTACCTTTAGAGTTACCGTAAAACTAACAAATTGTAGGGCACATTCTCTTCTTCGACAAACACTGTAGAACAGAAAGGTTTTGCGCCGCTGCCTCGCCCGCATATGCACGTAAAAAAGAGGGCAGTCTGTAACCAGAATGAAAAATAAGGGAATTTGGAGGTAATTTTTCACCAAACGAAAGTTGCTCTTTACGTGAGCAGTCAACATTAGAGTGCTAATATCCTGAAGGCAGAAAACTGAGCTACAGCTGAGAGCAAGCAGTCGTTGACATAAACATTTCTTCACTAACTTAACTACCCGGCGGTGTGATATGCACTTACTTCAATAAAAACTTGACCATTCAGTCAAAAGTTTACGCCACTGGTTCGATTTAGCTGCCATCTCATTTGACAGGCGTAGGCAGCAATTTGTGAGTCGTGGTGATCTCACTCAAGCAGACTAACACGGTCTACGGTGGTTAACCCTTGATTAACTACTTCGTTTCCCTAAGCTATCTAGCCACCTCAGACCATTTTAGTTGTTAGTCGAACGCGCCCGCCTGTCGTTCGATGACATACGTCAGTCTGTTGAAATAACAGTTGCCTGATCGCTGGTGCCACTCGTTATGAGAGGTTTTCTATTTCACAAGTAATTTATACAAGCTATGACGTGACAGCTTTCTGTCGCTTTATGTTTCATTTCATTGAATTGCCATTACTATTTGTTTCACACTACTCGGGTTACTTATCTTGCTGAACTTTATTCAGATGCGCTATTCCGGATATTTATACAGGGAAACAAACAGTTACGGTTGATGGAATTTTGCAGTCAGTCAGTTTGTTCTTTCTAATCATGAGTTCCTATTCATAGACGTTCACGAAACTGGTATACTTTAAACTGTCTCATATCTCAGTGGACCAAAACAAGGTGGAATTCGAATCAATTACGCAAACCTATTGAGTTTCGTTGGCCCTGTTTCATATGAGGTATCACCGACCTCAAGTTAATTGCTTTGGCAATTGAAGTACATCTTCTAGTCAAGCAAACCAGTTAGAAGCAGAACTTCATGAACATTTGGAAGTAATGAAGTGACTAAGAAACTTTGTGAAGATATGCCATTAATGAGTGGTAGCACTTTTTCATGGATGGGTGACATAGCTGAATGCATTTAAGTGTCACAGGTCGTCATGCGCGCGTTAACTTAACGTGGTTATCTGGGCTACTTAGACATGTACATTGTGAACAACTCACAAATGAACAGTCTTTCAGCATAGCTTTATGAAAAATGACAAACGACGTAAGCCAATCAGTTATAGTAATAGTTGCAAGGTGATCGGTCTCACAATTCTAGATTCACGCATCAGTGGATAATGAAAACCAATGCGCTCCATGAGACACCCGGGAGAATAGATTGGTAATATTCAACTTACCCCGTTTGCAATCCTGCATCGTGAAGGACTGCAAAGTTATCTGCTGAATTTGGGTTGCAGTTAACAGTCCATTATAGCCTCCCAAAGTGCATGCGTGATAGTGCGAAAATTTATATCCAGTGTTCGGAGCACATTGGTACCAAGCGATTTTGCAAAGCGACTCGGGTCTAGTTCATAACTCTCATTCGGAATACTGTCACTTCTTTAATAGATAAAAACCTTGAGAACAAACAGTTATGCTTAAATGAAACTATTATTTTGTTCAACAAGATTTGTAGTAGGTATCCTCACGGAAGAAAACATCCATCAGAATCATGCAGGGAACGTCTCGGCTAAATGATATACAGTGTGTTCACAATCAAGAAGGAGTAGCGAGACATTATTTATGGAGAAGATTCAGCTCACCCACAGAGTTATTTCAGAGATGCTCAATACAACAAAAGCGTGTTCCTCTGGGACTTCCATATATCGTTCAGGTGAGCTAAAACCGGATGCTGGCCCGATTAATTAACCGCGATTGTGGTTTATGCAATTATACTTTTGTTTGCCGGAATGTGCAAACCAACCACCAGCATATAATCTACGGGACGAGTGAAGAGTACTCGTCAGACATGATCTCTTGCAAATGAGGACTTAACTATATCCGAGCGTCCTGTGGACTCTGTTCACATGGAGTTATTGACAGAAATGAAAATTTAGATGGTGGATTCCTTATGAGACAGTGAGACGGGTGGATAACCCATTCCAAATGTGAAATTTTCGAGCTATTAGATTGGCTTCGTAGCTCAGCTGGTAGAGCGCTTGATGAGGTGAAGCATGGTGTTTCTCTCGCTGGTACGAATCCAGCCGAAGCCCTGATTTTCCACAGTTGGGTCTCATCTAAATTCGTAAACCTACCAAACTACTCATTAGTAGTAGAAATGAAAATGTTATAGTGTGATCCAAGGGTCATTTATTTGGGAAGCAGGTGGGAGTAGATAATGGTTAGTTTGCTTTTAGACGTCAATAAGATATAAGTTAACTAGGTAGCTTTCTGTGCAAATGTTGTTTTCCTCTCACCCGTTTCACCATCTTGGCGTTACGACAGTCGCTTTTTTATCTTACCGCTTATGGTTCTTGGTTCCCAACTTTCCTGTGTTCCTGAGTTCACGTTTTTGACCTCATCTGAGCCTTTGTTGGGTCAATTTTCCTAAGCTCTGCTTCACTGTGAACAACTACATAGGAAAGGATTATTATCAATGCATTAGTGACGAATTTTATCATCCACACTTCTAATTCCAACCGCATTTATGTACTGTTACTATCCACCTCCTAATGGTTGATTTTTCAGCACAGTATGATCACTGCGTAAGTTGTTTGGCAACCTTTACGTCACCCGGTGGTATAAGTCCCTATCAAAAGTCCATATCACTTCTGGATTTCATTGGCGGTCTCAACGGGATCTTAGTGACAAACCAAAAGTTGAGAGTGTCAATTCTTAGTTTTCTTCGTGAAACTTGAACACATGTTTAAGCCTTATATACATGCGAGTCCTTGTCTTTAACTCTGTTATGTAAGTCCAGGATAAGTATATACAAAACTGTTGAAATCTCCGTCAAAATGCAGGTCTTAGCATAACATTATAACAGACATTAACATTAATAGTTTTTAAGTAAACTGAAACTGTAATGCACTGTACACGTGCATTCTGTATAGGTGATTTATCCGTATAAACATGAACGTTTCACTTAACCAGGAACATGGCCTAAACCGGATTTGAGTATGATGTTTATGTCTAAGCGGTTTCACGTTCCATGCCTCTGAATGAGGAAAAAAGGCAGTCACGGAGTTCAGAATAAATAAACCTCCTAATGTAGTTCACGTACTGCATGACGCCAAATTTCGTGACCAGTTTGTCGATCAGGATGTGACATCATCTCTACCATTTTACATATCTGTTTCCACTTTATGCACAAGATTTTTCGTTTCATGCAAAAGCAAATCACTTTGGTGCATTAGAATTTCCACATTAGAATATTGGACCTAACGACAAGAACGTGATTGGTCGAAGTAATCGGAAGGGACAACCATTCTTAATTAGAGCACTTCGGATTGGCTACTTTGATAGAGGAAGTGGTACGGGTTATTCAAGGGTTGTCAGCGACTTTGCTTAATGAGAACATGGTTAGCGGTCAAAGTGGAGCACACATCATCTGACCCTGACCCTACTAATTCATCAAACTGCGAACCGTATTGGCTCCTTTGATAGGTAAGGGGGTTCGAATGGTTAGGAGTGTCTGTGGACCTCACGTCCAATGTGAGTGAGTTTTAGGGTTGTGGTAGACTTAGAGCTGTAATATGAAAATGAATCAGTTTGTGAGAACAATTTCATTAGTTCTCTTGTATACATGGCTGACAGACGCACTTACACTCACATCAGTCCCGAAACACGCAGACGTATTACTGAAGCTTTCGAAAGGGGTGATGACTGACACATGTAATTTTATGAATAATTGCCTTTAATTTTGCTTGCTTGACAACCATGATGAGATAAAATGTTATGTAATTGGCCCGATGATGAATAACCGAAAACAGACTGTTTGCCAAAACAACTTTTCACTTCTAATGAACTCCTGGGGCTATTCGAATCGTTGAAATAGTAATCAGCTTGATCAGCATGCTTGACCAGCACTTCAAACAGCGTAGATGATAACTTCTGTTAATTTAGAGGTGATATAACGAGACGTCGCGCAGTATTAAAAACTGGTTTGTTCTGTTACGTCAGTGGGCTTCACCAAATTCTATAAGCAGCACATTATGAATTTCTGTGGCTTCATGTAAGAATGAAAATTAACATGTAAATGAAAACAACATCAAAAAACGAAGCGGCTGGTTGACATGTCAGGTTGTTTGGCACCGATCGGCCACAATTCAGTTAATAGCAGCTTGAGTGTGGGTTTGGTTAATGTCGGGGAGGAACCCAATTTATCAGAAATACCGTTTTCGTTCGCTTTTGGAAAGGCCTATCACGTTCTGTTCGAATTGACCGTTATTCTACTGTTTGGTTGCGCGCTCGTTGGCCGCGCATCCAGCCACAACAGATAAGTTAAACGCTTACCACTCAGAAAACTGCTCCACTTCAATCTCGCTATAATATGCAGCTAATTTTGTGATTATTGTGGAAACAAAGCATATGTTCCAAATAGCAGTTTCTGAAAGAATGTTGTACTAGACTTTAAACACGACTTGGTTTAAGATTCTATTGGGTACAGATAAGTCAAACAATGGCGCGCTGGATAAATTTTATTGGACGTTGACTACTGATGTTTATTTCACAACAATGAATAATGGTTAACGCCAATCCTGCAGAAAGCGGACAGCAAATACATGTTTCTTTTATGGTTAGTAGTAAAGCACACTTATGTTCAACTATGATGATGGTTACCATGTTCAATCAGGAGAATTTTCTCCTGTAGACCTTATTGAACTTGAGCGAGCGACAGCACGCTTTTGAATGTCATCTTGTTTAACCTGAGTGTTTCTGTGTCATCACCAGTGCGGCATGCAGACACACATTCCTGATTTTAGACTCGTTGATTTGAGCTTCCACCATGCGACAAGCGCAGAAACCAAGCGTATCGTGCTCCAGATATAATATTCACCTACAACACGAGTAGTTAAAACGTAGTCTTGATTTTGGGTGTCCTGCAATTTGCATATAAAGCAAAATGAGGGGTCATCAACCGTCTCGTATTGCTAGACGGAGCACAGGGTAAGTTTAGGTTGATACCACGTATTTTAGGCAAATAGTGTTGTGATTGGAGTAGCAATCAGGCACGTGTTTCCCATAACTGCTGCTGACAGAATGTTGCATTATATGGTGAATGGTGGTAGATATCACAAGATGATAACATGATATGACCAATCTGTTCACTTCATTTCGTTCTTTGTACAAGCTGGATCAGCTCTTAAAACAATCATTAGGTTGTTGATGTTCGTCGAAGAGACCATATTTTCTGATCAGACTGATGGTTGCTTTCAAATATAAAGTCATGCAGAAATTGCCGGTTGCCTCATCACAGCAGCAATTTCGAATGCACTTTCTCAGACTAGAATATTTTGTTCTTCAATATCAACGTTTTCGCAGGTAGCGTATTTAGCGGCTCCCTATACTATGATTTTTTATGGGTTAGAAACACCTGGATGGTGGTAAGGGAATACAAATCTGTGCAAGTTCAAAGTGAAGTTTGTAGTTAAGTACGTTGCTTTCAATGCATCATAAACGTGTTTATAATGCCACCGAAATATAGGATGTTCGTATTTCGTTAGAAGTTTCTTGTAATACGGTTTATGTCAAGTATAAGTTAGCCGGAATATGCAGCTAAATGTATCTGAACTCCCGTCATGGATGTAATATTCGTTGTGCAAATGAACCATATGAATACAAGTTTGCAGATATTCTGTTCGGTTCCCATTCATTAGAATCGGTGAAATGTCTGATTTGAACAAATAAATTATGGATATTTTTGAAAGGTTAACTACAATTTCTGTCATACATCAAGATCTTTATCACAAGAGAAAAATAACTTGAGGCAACACAACTACCTCTGTCACCACCGTATATGTTTATATGAAGCAACACATTTGATTTCTGATAAATGGACTGAGAATAACAACGTTATGAGCAAGGTGTAATACTCTACGTTTCAACCATCTGGGGTGCTCCTCCTGGGGAATGTTGTAATCGAATTACATTGTTGTAACTTATTACAACACTCCTGAACAGTATCAAATCAGGTGGTTGAAACGTAGAGTAATACAACTTGTTCATAACGTTGTGTTATTCTCAATCCATTTATCAATAACACTTTTAACACGACGCCCAAACTGCCTGACTTCATTCATACTAAGAAGCAAGTAGAACGGTTCCACGTGCACTGTCAAAATTGACGATCAGCGGGCATGTGCAAACTACACAATATTGCCCACCGATGATTTTCTTTGAGAACATGATCCACCATGTGTTACATAGGATATTTTACTAGCCAATCAAGCAGCGCTTTCCCTAGCCTTCTCTAACAAATAATACTTGGTTGATATACAGCTGGGAGTCAGTAAGTTGTGCCTGTAGTCGGCTGTGCAGTTCAAGCGCTTGCTAAACATTCTAAGTAATGCAGGTCTGATTAGCTATCAGTGTCAACTTCTAATGAAATTCCGTTTCATCCTTTTTTCAACAGGTAATTGTACTCAACCAACCGGTCCGTGTAAGCTGGGTATTTACTCAGAATGTTTCTTCATGTATCTCTCCTTAACTTGTAGGTGGATATTGTAGATTTACAAACAGCATGGTTGTGTTCTTTTAGGAACCACCTGCTTGAAAAATGATCAATTCAACTTTGGGTTGTGGATAAACTTCCAACCAAAATATTGGACATTTCGCCATCAACAATAAACAATAGTAACTATTACTTCTGCGAATAGCTGTTGCCTTTCATCTCCATCAGGCATTAACAACTGTATTGAGTAAGTAAGAGAATCAGCATTCTATTAAATCAAATGCGATCACAGTCTACCGGAGGAGGATGGAAGTGTTGGTGAGTGCCTCAAAGTGACACACGTGCTTGTCGTGAGACACGCATTCGTCGGTGTCAAGTGGTTCACGAATGCTCGAGTTTCAATTTTGGCTGTGGAATATTTGGTCCATCACTGCAAAAGCTTGATGAGAATTACCGAAAATTGTTTTTAGAAAGTTGGATTCTTCCGAATTCCAAGGGAATCTGTGTCTAATGCTCTGACTGAAGTTCTTACAAAAAAAAGGTGTGTTGTGCATGTTATTTCAATCAACAACTCTACAATGTCATTGGAACCAACCACAT